GTTAGAAACCATTCTCTTTCCTTAAGTTTTTTTTTTCAAACCAGTTTTTCTGAAAACCCCTTGTGTACAATATAAATCTTGTATAAATCATTATAGAAATAAAATCTCAATCTTTTGATATCAGAAAGATATGAGTTTCTAAACTTACTATCCCATAGATTCTTGATAGATTGAAGAAGATAATCTCTTTCTTACTTTAACAAAGAGAGAATTTTCTTTACTTAAGATCTCTATTCTTAATTCTAAGAAAAGATACAGTGAGGGCAAGAAGCTGAAATAGCAGAATTCCCATTGAGGCAAGAGGCCGTTTAAGGGAGCAGTTTGCAGATTCAGAGCCTGAAGGTCACTCGATTCTAAGAATACAGATTTAAGATCAAAAGTAAGGTAAAATTATTGTCTTTGTTAAATTTAGAAAGAATTCTTCTAATATCTTGAAAGAATTGTAGGGATTATTATTGTTCATGTTTGCAAAAAACTTATCTAAATATGTTATTATTCATAAAGTTTGCAAGGAATTATTTGAATAATGCCAGGTTATACAATTAAAGGATTAGATAATCTGTTAGATAGATTAATGGAAAAAATAGAAAATATTTATTCTCAATTAGAGATTATGGATATATTATCGAAGGAATTTGATAATCTTAGTAAATTACATGACAATTATATTACAGATTATGCTAATTTATTAGATCAAAGGATGAAATTATATATTAAAACTCGAAATGAGAGAAATAGAGGAATTTAAAACTATCCCAATAAATTAAGGATATCTTGTGCAATATATGATAAATTATTTCATTAAGGGTATAATAGACATTTTATCAAAAATGAATAGTAGCAGGTCATTTATAATAATACCCCCGTATTGAGGGAAGATGTACTAAAATTAAATTTTAAGAAAAATAAATCTCTACATAAACTAGTTAACGTTTATTTAAAGTTTCTACATCGAATTACTTCCCATAAAGTAAAGACAATTTAAAAGCTTATTTAAGGCTGTCCAGCATATATGTTTTTTAGAAGAGTAATGTTATTCGTAGTCGTTCACTGCGGTAGTCGCCCTATGTGACATACACATGTCAAGTGGTTATTTGATGCATTAATGTGGTAGTTTTTTTATTTATTAATGCATCAAATAACCACCTGCCATGTGTATGCCACGTAGGGCGGTTGTCGCAGTGAGCGACTACAAATAGTATTATTCTTTTGAGAATTATTCACACAATTTTCTGTTTAGTTACTGTACCTTTGTGATCTCATTATGTTTAGTAGGTAAGAATTAATTACCACTTAATTAACACTATTAATTAGAAATGGACACACCGAAAAAGTGCCTCGCATATGACAAAATAATTCATTAAAACCATTTAATAACCCCAGTCAGATCCAACGAATTCAACGTCGCAGCTTTGTTTGTTGATGTATTAAATTATATGGTTATAGAGAAGTGTGGCTCTGCATAAAATAGTCAAAGATTGTCAATGTGTGGAGTTCCAATCCACCTATTCAAGACACCTCAAAGCTTATTTAAAGCTCTTCAATACGAGTAATGTTACTCAGTTTCGTTGGAAGTACCGATGACATTATTTTTCTAATATAAATGCTATGGAAGTTTTTTTTTTTTTTGTTGAGAATTACAAACCATTATCTTATTCTATCGGAGTAATCAATTCGAAGAAAAAAAAGTAAACACTCAGAAACATGTAAGATTTATATAGATATGCCTCACTGTGACTGTAAAATTACATCATTTCCCATCGTTATAGTTATTCGTTGTGATAAGAAAATATTTACAAGAGAAAATCGCACACCTATCTTCGCTAACATTTCTCTCTTTCTGATTATAATACGAAAGGCCTAAGGATGACTACTTATTTATAGGATAAATCATGAAAAAATCGAATTTTACACAGACAATTCCTTAACAAAATTTTACAAGAATACAAATTCCTTAATGAAATTTTGATAGGCATTGCTTTTAACAAATTCAAGTAATTAGTTAGAATTGACAATAATTAAGTTTCACGACTTAACAACTTCTATGCACAATTGTCTATTTAGCTAACTTAATAAATTATTGTGAGCTCCTAGTGGCTAGAATTAATTCCATTAATTAGACATAGGACTCACCTAAAGAGCCCTCAAAGTAGGGAAAACTGATACCAAAACTATGTAACAACACCATTCATATCTATTTCATTTAACTCCTACAATAGGTGATTATCAAATATTTTCTAGGCATTCTGTTTAATAACTTCACTTTCATGAGCGTAAAAGAAAAAAAAAAAAAGAATCATGTTTTCATTTCACTCTTCGGTAGACATTGCCTTCAATCATAATTTGTTCACAAAAACATAAAAATCCGTCCTAAGTTTCACAGAATTTGTTCAAAGATTTTGGCCTCATATCTGTCCAACATGTTCTTCCTCTATAAATAGCCTTATTCTCACTCTCTTGCATTATGCCATTCATAAAAAAGAGAATTCAACCGATGAAAAGTAGAATTTAGGACTAGCAGAAAAGAGGGGGAAAAAAAAAGGTGTTATTTTTTTGCTCTAATCATGCAGAAAGATGAAGCTGCTGTTATTAAAAAAGAGCCTAATTATGGAGGAGTCAAAGCCATGCCTTTTGTTATGGGTAAATTTCCACAAAAATGTTGTAATCGTAGCTTCATGTTTTGTTATACTAAATCAGAATTATATGATCTTTTCTTGGAGTCGCATTTTTTGCAAGCTCGATTCCCTGGTTATAGAAAATTTTCTTGTGCTCTCTCCACTAGATTGCATCCAGTTATGTTCATGAATTTTGTGAAAAATTTTACTGACTTTGACAATTTTTGGAAAACCTTGCAGGCAATGAGACATTTGAGAAGCTGGGAACCATTGGTACATCTTCTAACATGTTAGTGTACCTTACTACAGTATTCAACATGAGCACTATTTCAGCCACTAATCTCATCAATATCTTCAATGGGACTTGCAATTTTGGAACATTGTTTGGTGCCTTTTTCTCCGATACTTATCTAGGCCGATATAAGACCCTTGGAATTGCTTCAGTTTCCTCTTTCCTGGTATAACTTCAGACTTCTGTTCACAATCCTTAATTCAATGAACTAGAATCAACATAAATTTGTTCAAACTCAATTATTTTTTGGGTTAATTATACAGGGGATGCTTGTGCTAACACTGACTGCAGCAGTTTCGGCTCTACGTCCTCCTAAATGTGAAGCAGAAAAGAGGAAAGAATGTGTTGATCCAACAACATGGCAACTCGCGCTCTTGTTTAATGCATTTGGACTGCTGGTGGTTGGGGCTAGTGGCATAAGACCCTGTAACTTAGCATTCGGAGCAGATCAATTCAATCCCAATACAGATTCTGGGAGAAAGGGAATCAATAGCTTCTTCAATTGGTACTACTTCTCCTACACTTTCACCATGATGATATCTCTGACACTCATCGTCTACGTGCAATCCAACGTGAATTGGGCTATTGGATTGGGCATTCCAGCGTTTCTGATGTTCTTGTCGTGCGCATTCTTCTTCACTGGGAGCAGAATTTACATCAAAGTATTGCCCGAAGGCAGTCCCTTGACAAGTATGGCACGAGTTCTAGTTGTTGCATTTAAGAAGAGAAAGCTGAAACTGCCGGAGCAACCTTGTAGTAATCTCTTTAATTACTTTCCACTGAATTCAATCAACTCAAAGCTTCCTTATACTGTCGAACTAAGGTAACAATCTTTAGCCTATGAACTTTTAGACTATATAGTATTGGACAATCTATTCATTCGGTCGAGTATTGCATAATAAACATTAATCAAGTGTTCTATAATTCAGGTTCCTCAATAAAGCAGCAATAATCACAACCGATGACAAGATCAATACAGATGGATCGGCAGCTAATCCATGGGGTCTTTGCAGCATCCAGCAAGTAGAAGCGCTAAAATGTGTGATTAGAGTAATTCCCATATGGATTTCAGGCATATTATACTATGTTATTATAGCTCAAATGCAGTCATATGTAGTATTTCAAGCCATCCAAAGCAACAGACACCTAGGAAGTGGAAAATTCCAAATCCCAGCTGCAACTTACATTGTTTTCATGATGTTGAGCCTCTCAATATGGATTCTCCTTTATGACAGGCTCATCCTTCCTTCACTCCGGCGAATCACAAGAAAGGAAGAACCCATTAGTCTCCTCCAGCGAGTCGGCATTGGAATGATACTTGCTATACTCACAATGATCGTATCAGCATTAGTCGAAAATCACAGGAGGACATTGGCCATAACTCGTCCAACATTAGGCCTTGTGCCTCGAAAGGGCTCCATTTCGTCCATGTCTGGTTGTTGGCTGATACCTCAATTAGCAATAGCAGGAATTTCCGAGGCATTCACCGTCATTGGACTAATCGAATTCTACTACAAACAGTTCCCAGAAAACATGCGCAGTTTCGCAGGATCTTTTGTATATTGTGCATCCGCAATGGCGAGTTATTTGAGCAGTTTCTTGATATCAGTCGTTCATCGGACTACGAGAGTGGGAGAAGCTGAAAATTGGTTATCTGAAGATCTAAACAAGGGGAGATTGGATTACTTCTATTACATGGTTGCTGGTTTAGAAGTGATCAATTTGGGGTACTTTTTGATTTGTGCGAAGTATTACAAGTACAGAACAACAGAATAAATCACTAAAGATGTTGCTAAGGATGAATTACAACCTCAAAAACCAGCAGTTTAGTTTCAAAATCAGAAATTTTGAAGGATTCATCAAACAGCGAGAAGTACAGGCTGTATTTTCTGTCTTGGACATGATAAAATAAGAAAAATAAGTTTCAATGTATTTTTCTTTTGTTTTTATGAGGGCGAGCGGAGGGATGGAGGTACCAATCCTCAGAATCTTTGACTTCGTTGTGTCTTCCACAAACTGGGACAAGGAGAATTGGTAAATATCAACTGTATTATGAAATGAAATATTATCAACCATTGTGTACGGAACATGTGCTTTTTAAGGGTATTTTATAATCAGTGTTTTTTCTTCTGAATTCCATTAATACATGCAAATTTCAAGAAAAATATTTGCGCATCTTCAATGCAGTTGCTTACTAAATTGTGTCCCATAAGTAAAAGTAAAAGTAAAAGGTGTTTAAAAATTCATTTCCAATGCAAACTAATATGAACTTCATCGTACTAACGTGATAAAGAAAAATAGACAATGTCTCAAGCCCTGTCCAGATTCAGAAGTTCTATTAGACGAAGTGGGTTAACAAAAGTAAATTTCATTTCTAGAATTATATTTCTTATCCCGATTAAGACATTATTTCGTTTTTACTTTAAGAGAATAAGGAACACCTATATAATAATCCGTCAAATACATTAGGACCTAATTGTAGACTTGAGTTCTTATTTAATAGACATCAATATCACATAAATCGAAAGTTAAAATATCTTCTTAACTTCTTTACTAAAGTGATAGTAATTCATAGAGTGCACTAGAGATCCTATTATGCAATATCTCGATAGATACTCATCTTGTTGGATTGATTTCTAGAACAAATAATAAGGGAATAAGATGCTTGATGTTTAATATAGAAGTGATTGTTGAGTCATTGAATTATTGATCCGATGAAATCAAAAGTCTTGGCAAGTGATTTCATTGACAAATGGTATAAGAGAAAAGGAGTGTGCAAAAACGACATTGAAACAGTGTAGAAATTGGTGAAAACGGTTGAAATCAAACTGGTCGAAACTACAATCGCATTTTTTGACCAATCCAAAAACTTGGTGAACGAACGAAGGCGATATCCTTGCTTTAGACAACGATATGAAGTCGTCCGACGCGTGAGATTCATGTGCAAAAGTTGTCCCGGCATGTAACGGCACATGGAGAGGTTTTCAACGAAGTTGTCTGGAGACAGATTATTCCTAGAGATTTTTAGACCTGTTGGTGGTGTCCGTTTTCTATTTTGGGCAATACGATGATTCTGTACTATTTTACCCTTGGTTGTTCCAGTTTCGATTTTTAGTTGATTATGATTCTGTACTATTTTACCCTTGGTTGTTCCAGTTTCAATTTTTAGTTGATTGTGTGTTGCTGCAATTGTTCAAACCTTTAGGGCGAGTAGTGATGGCCCTTAAGCTGTAAAATTTACATATCTCCTAATTTACAGACCAACAGATTGATCCGATCGATAAATTGACTTGACATTTTTAAATTTTCGTACTAACTAGCCATTTTGTGAGTTGGCCAATAGATTTGAGGTTACTGTGTGGGGTAACCATTTTTTGTTGCTAGAATTTAGAAATTATTAAAGGTTAAACCCTAACCTTAAGGATTCCCCACCACCCCTGCCCTGGAGTATCGTGAGGGAGGTAAATCGCAGGTTATACCTCCAAGGGTACAGGTTGGAAGGCTGCTTGTACACTTGCACTTACCCAAGAGCCAAATTCATATTTCAGGATTCGAATCCTTGACGCAGCAGCCTCAAGTAAAGCTGGATTTCTCCACCCTCCCCTTTTACCACTTGGAGATGTGCCCTGGGGGCTAGAATTTAGAAATTATTTGACCTATTTGACGTGTTTCAAGTGTTTTAAAAACTGTTAAGTTTGATTGGTAAAATTTGCTTATTGATTCTGTGATATAATTGTCGAGTGAGTCATTGTGTAAGACTTACATTGAGAGAGAAATTTTTTTTTGTTGGCATACCTCTTCGTTTCGTTAGAAAATTTAGACTTTACCGTTTGACCATTCCCTTGATCTGAGATTACGAATATCATGAAATCTTGATAATTTAAAATGGTGTATATTTTGACTTTAGGAAAATTTTATTGACTATTCTGTGTGATATGTGCCTCTACTTCGCTTATGATGGTTGCTTGTTTGCACTTTGTATATTGTGCATTTTTTAGAAAAAAGAAACTAGTTTTGATTTGGAAATTTTAAATGGAAAAAGGCTCTATTTGGTAACAGAAAATAAGAGTGATTTTGGCTTAACAAAAAGTTTCTAAAGTTATAGATTACAATTTTTCTACTAATTTGTCAAAAGAAAGAGAAGAATTTGATGAGTTTGCTTGCATTTCAATTATTTTACCCCGTCGACGTTGATTTGAGAAAAGTTAATAAACTTAAACCACAAAAGAACTTTAAAAAAAGTTAAAGGACTTATATTTACTTAAATCTACTTTTAACAAACTTCACTTACTTGAGAGGTTTTTTTAAGCTATAAAATGGATCTTTAAAATGATCTTGATAATAATCTAGATGTATTTAACATAATCGTGCAAACATTATTAATTATGATGAAATAGTGTCTGAAATATATAAAGCCATAATTTTGCTTAATTTCATATTTGACACTTGTGAAAAGGTAAAGAGTGCAATTAAGTATGATAGGAACACTTTAACACTTGAGATTGTTGTAGATTACTTTAAGAGTAAGAAAATGGAGATTAAAGCTGAAAACATGATAAGAATAGTAGTGAGATACACATGATGAGGGATAGAACACAATTTAGGCAAAACAATCATGAAAGCAATCAAAATAGTGGTGATTCAAGTGATAATAGTGTTAAAAAGAATGGTAGAAGTTGAAATAGCTCCGAATGATAAGCAATTTTATTGCTATGGTAAGTCCAGATATTTCATAAGAGACTATCCTAAAAAAAAAAATAAGGGGAAAGAAAAGGCGAAAGGTGAGGCGAACCTTGCCACTTGATTTACTTATGACCCAAGTAAAGTTTATCAAAAATAAACTCTCTTGTGGCTATTACTGCATTTGCATGTGTGCAATCCATTTTGCATGAATGATTGCTTGATTTTGGTAAACTATTTTATGTTACATTTTTATTATGTTTGATGTATACATTTGTATGAATATGAGGGTGATCATATTACTATGTGTATTATGTTGCACGCATAATAGTTGACATTGCTATTATGAGGTTTAACACTAGGTGTGTTTATACTTTAATACGTACATTAGTAGTAATTATGTCAACTAGTAATATAGAGTATTGGTGACATGTATGGGGGGAGGGGGTGGGGTGTGGAAGAATGACATTTGGATCACGAGAGATTAAGTGATTAGCTGTTTTTGAAATTCTCTATCTGTTAGAATCCTGATCGGATAGAGTGAGAAAGTGACTTTTATCTCATCTGTTAGGCGGAGACAATTATCTACTTAGTTTGAGAGAGGTGAAGTAGTGATGGAGGAACATCCCATGGATATAGGATTTTTAGTGGTTGACGAGTTATGCATGAAGAGTGAACAATTTAGTAAGTATGGTTGGTGATGAAAGGAGAGATGTGTTCTAGATACTAGCTACATGAAATGGGATAGTATAATTTTAGTGAGATCTTTTCTTGGGATCATTTATGTAATTGTTGTATATGTCGATTATTTATTTGGTTAACTTCATGTTAGTTTGATGCTCTTTGTGTGTTAAACATGTTATCATCCGATGATGAGTTTTAAAATTATGTGTTATCATGTATTCTTAATTGATCATTATGTATATATGGTTGTACTTGGATTTTGACCTTAGCTTTTGGTGAGTACATGGAGCTGATATGGTATGTGCTTTTGGTTTGAGACAATGGTAATGTTTGTGATTTTCAATTTTTTATGTTGACCTTGATTAGACAATTATAAACTTAGTGTTGTTTGCTAGCAGATTCATTCGGTATCAAGGTAAAGATTTGTTGAGTTCTGTTGATATCTGATGAGTCCGAGCAATGATGTTTAACGATTGGATTGATTTCATACGCTTTGGTGGATGATTGAAATATTTATCAATGCCACAATTGATTGGCTCAACCTATAAACATATTGGGCCATTGGAAGCAACATTAATTAATTAATTAATAGTTGCTCATGGCCGATTCATTAGTTGAACAGCCCTTTTATGTCCCTTTACACTTATCTTGGGCCATTTTGTAGTTTGCCCTAATGTTATATATTCTTATCCTTGGTTGTGACCTAACCGTGTGTTTTGCAAGAGTTTTCAAGGCAACGTCTTTTGATCATTTTATTCGGGAAACTGTGACCTAAATCGCTCCCCGTCTTCTCCTTTGTGATACATTGCAGTCACCATTCTCTCCCTTCCTGGGTAATTCAATTGGGCAACCATAGGGATTTGTGGGTTAAGGATTCAATTGTCGTGCATTTGATTTTGGTTAAAAGAAACTAAGCCCGTTCTTGTATAAAATCAAAGGTCTATGGGAATGATTTCATCAATAAGAATCTACGTCAAAATAATGCTCGAGGGCAGTCCCCTAATATCTCACAAGTATTCATTGTTGCATTTAATACGAAAAAGTTGAATTTCCCAGAGCTACCTTGTAGTAATCTTTTTAATTACTTCCTACCTAATTCAATCAACTCGAATCTCTTATCCTGACCAAGGTAACAAACTAAGCTTGTGGCATTCATTTGTTTCATTCAATCGCAAGGTCAACTGTAGAGTAAAACATTTGATTGTGTAAAACATCATTTTCATCCATTTTCGTCCAATTTCTAAGTAAAAAGATGTAAAATGACAAATATACTCTCTTATTTAAACAAAACAAAAATAAAAGAAAAGAAAAACAAACAATTAAATACAACCATAGTCCCAAAATTTTTTTTTCAAAAAAATAATAATTACAAACGATTCCCAAATAAATTATTAAAAAAAATCCATTTCTTTCTCTTCCCCCTTCATCCTCCTCCTCCACCACCACCAAAAATGCAAAGCCCAATTCCTCTTAAATTAATTCTACTCAAATCCATTCAATTTTCGTACAATGTTTGTGGTTTGTTTCTCAGATTAATTCTATGCAAAGATGAAACACAACATTTCTTTTTGAGTTTGTTTCTCCTCTAAATAGAAAAAACAAATCTATTTACACACAAGGATAGAGAGATCGCTAGTGAAATTGAAGCATTCACACAATTCATAATACTCCATTCAAAGAAGAAAAGTTTCATCTTTATTCACATTTATTATTGGAAGCTTTCAATCCAACTTTCTTCTAGTTTATTTCAACTATTTGGCTGG